GTGTGTGTGTGTGTGTGTGTGTGTGTGTGTGTGTGTGTGTGTGTGTGTGTTCATGGCAGTGACCCTCACTCCGTGGGCATGATTGTGGGTGGATCCCATTTTGGTAAGGTGGTGGGGGGTGGCTGTTGTGGCTTTGGCTGTGTCTCAATTCCAGCCTAGCTGGGCCACATCCTCCCTGGGCCAGGTAGGCTGCTCAAAACTGCTGTGAAATGAGACGGTCTACCCTTCGCCTGGCGTCGGCTTCACGTGGGTTTGCGTGACCAGGTGCTCTCCTGTTAACCATAGTGATCATTTCATGTCAGACTTAAAATACGTCGGGATGTGTATTTACTATTTTTACTGTAAGAATAACTTTACAGTTAAAACATTACATGTAAATAAATAAAAAATGAATAGTAATTCAGGATTAGCTTCAGTATCTAAAACGGAGTATTAGGGCCACAACAAGATTTTATTATTACCATTACAACAATATTATTATGGGATTAAAGTCGTAATATTAAGAGAGAAAAAAGTCATAATCTTACATGACGTGTCCTTGTTCCGTTCCTCATTTCCTCCTCATTTTCCCCACACCTGCTGTGTACAGCCATGTGTTTGTGTTTATAAAGTAGTCTCCGATGACTTGGATCACTGTTAGATTAATACGCTTTCATCCAAATTAGCTACATGACTAAATCTGTCAATGCGTCCATTAATTACAATACAGCTTCAGTTGATCATATAGTCGTTTGCACAATAAACAAGTCCTGCCACTGATAATTTGATACTGATGTGCTAAAAGATTAACTATTTATTTTTAAGCAATACTAAAAAAACAACTTGACAACATTCTAATGCAGTAATAAGCATGCTTTTTCATGTGAAGGCTGTTATGACTTTAATCTCATAATGTTGTGAATTTGTTCTCATAATATTATGACTTCATTTCTATACGACTTTAATGTCGTAATATTATGACTTTAATTACGTAACTTGTAGTTGCATTTTTTTATTTACTATCTTATTGCAGCATCAGCTAAGTTACTCAACTTGCTTATAAGAGCAAATCCTTCGGTCTCTGGTGAATTTCCAAACTACGCTGACTAGTTAAAAAAAACTCTACAGTCTTCGTTTCTCTGTTTATTTTGATGCCCGCGCGTTGAATCCTGGGATATCCTCGGCTGGTGAGGATACATGGATGCATCCTCGGATTTCGAGAGTTTGTCGGCCGCATTCCTCAGCCGCATGATGAGGAGCCTTCGAATTGGGACAGTCCTCTGCACAGGGGAGTGACGTATGCGGCCGACAAATGCGCACTCCTGAGAACCCAGCTCCTGAATTGAGACACAGCCTTTATCGTCCGGCAGTCTGACTTTTTTTGTTTTTAATTTTTTATTTTTTTGTGGCGGCACAGTTTATAACTGCACATGTAGCCGTAGGAGGCCAGTTTGTCCAAAAACTCCCAGGATATATGCTCCTTTCAGGAGCTCCATCCAGCTCAAGCTGTATACACTCATCTCCTGCACGTCTCTCCAGGAAGATTTTGCAAGTTCTGCCTCGGATCAGCCGATCCACGGGCAGAAGTCTGCTGATGTCAAAATCGTAAGCGTGCAATACTCGGTTCTACCCAATTAAAACCACTAGTGAGGTGGTTCTGAAAGCACAGTTGGAACCAGAAAAGGAGACACGTTTGGCTGAGGCTGAACCGAGGAGAACCACATGCAGCCACAGGCACTCCCATGGAAAGAGGGCTTAAGTGGGAGTTTCTTGTGTGGCAGGAGTTTATTCAAGATTTTACTTTTGCAGGCGTAGTTTGTTAAAGACGTGAACATTGTTTACTATTTTAAGTGAGGTTTGAAGAAGCCAAGTGCAGCTTGGGGGGACGTGTAGCTCTGCTGAAATGTTCAGGAAGCACCTTTATTTTTTAATATAAACATTCATTTTAAATATAACTTGATATAGGAAGGTTAAACTTGAACGCTGTACATGTGCAGGGATGTGTAACAATTTGAACCAGACATAACAACCCTAATCCTCCTGGAGTCCTAGTTTACCTAATTTTCCTCTAGTATTTTTGAATTAAATTGAATTGAATCACACCAAATTTGAAGTCAATAAATTATGTTTACATGTTCACAATAATTTTACTATTACCATTACTTCATCTTTTAACTTGCCGCACAAGACCAGTCAATCCGACCAATCACAGTTTTGCCAAACTCCACCCACCCAAGTACCTCCACCTATATTCCAACCTCTGCCATTCAAGGTTTGGACAAACTCCGCCCACACCAAGAACTCCATCAATCATAGTTAGGACAAACTCCGCCCACACAACAAAAACCCTGCCTATGAACTGCAGAGACCCCTTGGTTGTTTTCAGGGTTTTTATGTGGATGAGGACGAATCTAGAAACAGTGCTGAAGTTCAAGAGGAAATTTTTATAAACAATAAATTAAAGGACTGTTTTGGACAAATGTCCGTTATGTGTGGATAAGGTTTTAGTTTCAACTTCCATTTGAATGTGAAATTTGATCAGACACCGTATGAGAATTCAAGGTACAAATTCTAAATGTAGGAGGAATTTTAACACCGTTTGAAGCCCAAATCTTTAAAATTCTCAAATTTAATAATATTTAGAGTCCACCTTGTGGCTTGAATCCACTTAAGAAAAAAATCAGACAGTTAACTTTTTTTTACTTTACTTGATATTTGATTTTCTGTTTTTAACTGCATAAACCAATGTATTTTCTTGATGAATATATAATGCAGTTCAGATTGAATTCGGCAGGATCTGTCATGTTGTGAAAACTGAAAGCTCAGTGTATCTGTTAACTCCAACACATGTAAATTGATGGAAGGCTCCATTTAAAAACAAAACAAAGAATGTACAATTCTTGCATATAAACAGTGAAGGGAGGGGTTTCGGGGATTTATTTTAGTAGTTTAGAGATTWAAAAAATGTACATAGCAATGTCATAAAGTTTTAGCGACAGTCTATATAACCTGCTGAATGTAGTGTTGATAATTTGCATTTAAAAATGTTGTAAACTAATAACAAGAAACTAAGACACACAAGTTAACTCATTGTTTAGTAATTCGTTTGTTTTTAATATTGTCACATTATATTTAACAACCATAACTTTGTACTGAAACAACACGGCAGCATGTTTTCAACTGCGACCATTAATCTAAACTTCATGGGATAACTTGTCAGAGAGCCGTCTCTGTTAAATTAAATATCCTGAAACTATTTCTGCTTTTGTTTGCAATAGTTTTGATCTTTTGAAGTGGGTTCTGTGAAAAGGATAKMAACAAGTTGTAGGTCTAGAGAGGCCTCAGGCTGGCAAAATAAATTTCAATTCTGATCRGACTGATGGGCTAACGGCTAGTCCGAGACGGGTCAGGATTAAAGTCGATTCAAACTGAGTTTGAACTATCTCCCACATGTACAATAAYTGTTTATATCCTTTTCACTGAACTCCACTTAAAATATCTGAATTATCCTTTTAATCTGTAGCGTCACATTGTCTTTTTTGCAGYGGCCATACTGACAACAGATGTCACATAAATGCTAATGTATAAATATTCAGCTGTTTTTTATGTGGATTATAGTCTGAATGCTTGTACATTTTGTATAGGCAGGAAAGTATTACGTAAAACCACCACATAGTATTTTACTCCTGTACATAAATATACATCTGGTGATACTTTAAAGCATTGATGTCTGCTTTTAGTAGCTACGATATTGTACTGTTCTATCTGCTGTGTACTGTAGTGTTTGCGAGGTAAATGCACTGACTCTGATCTTAATGTGAAGGATCTGATCGGGATGTGACGACCGCAGACTTTGGCCATAAAAAAGACTGATGTTGAAGTGAACAACAAATGTTTTTATTATTTGAAAACATCTACAATCTGTGAGATGCTGTCTGTGTGTCATGAACTGAACTTTTTCACTTTGACCTTTGCTGTGCGTAGAAGCACAGAAACACAGAGGACATTAGGACACATGGCTGAAAAGAGCCTTTTGATGGCATTATTACTTATTTATTTGTGCGCACTAAATGCTATTGGATAAGTTCATTTGTGTTCCTCCGTTACTCATTCCTCTATATTGCTGTTGAGTTACTGTGACAGTTTTGGGACTGTCTGCAGCTGTGAAGCTGTTGTCCAAAAGTTTAATTGAAATAAATTAACCCTTTTAAAACTTGTACAGTCTCTGCGTCATTCAGGACCTTTCACATTGTGTTTCCATCTTTTATTTGTCTTTTAGCAAATTATCTCAWGAACGTATTTTATTCAAATCCACCAAACTGTTTGACTTTCAGAGGCAACTTGATTCAAGATGGTTGCTTAAAGCTGTTCAATGTAAGAAAACACAAATAACCTTTTTTTTCTATGGGCTCGACACCCCACAGCTTCAGAGTCTTTCCATTGAATGATCAGATCAGTCTTTTGCACCCACTCAGAGGTTCCCAGTGAGCCGAGTCGAGCTGAAGACTTACTGTCAGCCGACTGCAGCCCATTGATCAACCAGAGAGTGACATCAATCATACGAGCCACCATTTTTAAAACCTCACAACCTTTTTTTTTCTTCTATTTAACGTATCCATTAATATATCAACACGTAGACCAAATGGACTTGAATTACGGGCTTCGACCAGCTGAAGGAAAGTGGCCTCAACTTGGCCACCGAACATTTGAAAGAAAATGGTGAGTGTTTTGTTACTTTATTTCTCTTATTTACCCATTAGTGGTAAACTTGGTTTGAACATAGATATTTTGAAAGGAACACCCGTGTCGAGCAGCTACACTGTGATGATCCCGCCCACCGGTGGCACTCGTATCGAAACCATCCAGACCACGAAGAGCCAAGAAGAGTGGAAGGAAGTTGTGGTGAGAAAGGGCAGTAGAAAAATGGCTTTGACTTAATCACAACTTTCAGAAAACACTTCAAGCAAGGACTCAGACTTTCTGGTCGTCTCGCTGTAACGACTGAATGGGTCGAGACAACAGGAAGGGTTAAATCTCACTCACGTGCTAATGAGCCTTTGTCCCTGTAAGGAAGTAACAGAGCTGTACCGTTTAACTTGTGAAGAGAATCTGACTTCAATGCTCAGWGGTGTGATCAAGTGATGACATACTGTCTGTGTGACCACCAGGCTGCAAGCGGGGGAAAAAAAGCCTGAACAAGGATAAACAAATTCATTAAATGAAAACTGATGTTAAATAACTTGACATTTAGTTTTAAAATTTGGTTAACTATAAACAATTTGACTAAACTTAGATAATTTGTCATGTTTTGAAAATGCTATGAGGCAAATGTGTGTTCACATTTAAAGTGGACATATGCAAAATCCACTTTTTTAGCCTATAAATGTGTTTTGTTGTGTACTTGGAGTCTCTAAGAGTGCAGAAAAGTTTAATTTATTCTCCCCCAGTGCTGCATTAGCTGTCACACTTCAAAAGATCTTTGAATTATTACTYCAAGCTTTTGTTTGGTTTCATTCAATGGGATTAAATAGAGAAAKGAACCATAAAGCCTGTCAGGAGCCCTGTTTTTTACGGTTCTTTGTCTTTTATTTAACTTAGTTTTTTTGTCTTTGTCTCTTTATAATTATTGTTCTGTGTGATCATTCCATGTGTTATGTTAATTTAACTGTCCTTCTCTGTCTGTTTTTTTTTATTTCTTTGTTTCCTGCGCCATTCCTCATATCACCCTCAGTCAGCTTCTCCGTGTTTGTCCAATCAGCCAATCACACCTGCTGCCACTCCCCAATCAGCACAGCTGCCCCCCACATCTCATCAGCCTAGTTTTATTCAGTCCATCGCTTTCAATGTCCATGTCGGCAGATCAGTGCAGTGTATTTTGTCTCCTTCTTCATTGTCCTGGCTTATCTATCTATCTATCTATCTATCTATCTATCTATCTATCTATCTATCTATCTATCTATCTATCTATCTATCTATCTATCTATCTATCTATCTA